TAGGTGTTTTTTTGGTAGATAACACAGTTGGGTCTTGCTATTTTGGCCAGATTAAAAATTAAAAAAAAAAAATACGTGAGTTAAGCCTTACATTTATACTTATTATATCATTGGCATGTTTGGACATAACCCTCTGTTATAATATTTTATAATTATGCTTATTTGTTCTCTTTGATATTTATTTATGAGTTGTATCTTTTTTGATCTTTAATTTATTAGATAAATTGGGATTTAGGAAGGCTTATAACTTTGTTCCAGTGTTTACCATAGTATTTATACCTTTAAAAAAAAAACCCTCAATTTCAAAACTGTCTGGCTTATCCATTTTTACTAGTACCTTTAACTCCTACTTATTGCCTGTCCTTTCAGTCAAGGTCCAATCAGGAGAGAAATCACACAGTAATTTGAACGGAGGGAGTTTAATATAAAGAATTATTAATTGCAACAGGGAACTGAAGTACTAAGGCAGTGGCCAGTAATAACTCCAATGAATATAGAAATAGCAGACACAGGGGTGCCTGGGTGTCTCAGTCAGTTAAACGTCAAACTTCGGCTCAGGTCATGATCTCATAATTTGCGAGGTCAAGCCCCTCTGGGCAAGCCCAAAGTCAGATGCTTAACCGACTGAGCCACCCAGGCGCCCCAAGAATTCTTTATAAAAATATTTTGAGGGATACCAGGGTGGCCCAGTTGGTTAAGCATCTGATTCTTGATTTTTGCTTTGGTCATGTTCTCAAGGTCGTGAGATCAAGGCCCCAATGGGCTCTGTGATGGACATGGGAGTCTGCTTAACACTCTCTCTCTGCTCTTCCCCACACTCCCCATCCCTCAGCCCACTTGCTCACATTCACACACACACACACACACACACACACACACACACACACACACTCTGTCTCTCAAAAGAAAAAAAAAATACCTTGAAATCTAGGGGCACCTGGGTGGCTCTGTCGGTTAAGCATCTGACTCTTGATCTCAGGATCATGAGTTCAGGCCCTTCACTGGGCTCTGTGCTGGGCGTGAAGCCTACTTAAAGCTAAATTTTAAAAAATAACTTATTTTTTGAAATCTAATAGTTTTATGAAGATATGTCTCAACGTTGATTGTTCTGGGTTATGTTCCAAGGTTCCCCATGGGCCCTTTCAATGTACAAGGTTTTCACTCTTGGAAAGTTTTCTTATAGTATAAGCCCTGGTTCATTGTTTCGTTTTTCTTCAGGGATTCTGAAGATACCAATGGGATTCCTTCTTTAACAATCTTCTGTTACCATTATTTCCTTCTGATTCCTACTTCTTTATCTCATTTTCATTCTCTTGATTGCTTTTCTGTCTTTCTCCAGTGCCCCTTATTGTATGTTTGAGTCGATTCTCCCCTGGGCATTTTATAACGTAATCTTAATTCTAGATAATTTTGTGCGTTTCTTTCATGTCTCTACAGAGTTCAACCAACCTTCTTCATTCTTTTCCTGGGTTTTATCTATTTCCATTCTTTTTATTTATTTTTTTTAATTTTTTTTTTTAATTTATTACTGAGAGAGACAGCATGAGCAGGGGAGGGTCAGAGAGAGAGGGAGACACAGAATCCGAAGCAGGCTCCAGGCTCTGAGCTGTCAGCACAGAGCCCAACGCAGGGCTCAAACCCACAAGCTGTGAGATCATGACCTGAGCCGAAGTCGGATGCCCAACTGACTGAGCCACCCAGGAGCCCCTATTTCCATTCTTTTAAAAAATTCTCCTTCTAGGGGCTCTTGGTTTCTGCTCAGGTTATGATCTCATGGTTCGTGAGTTCCAGCCGTGAGTGGGGTTCCGAGCTGGCAGTTTGGGGCCTGCTTGGGATTCTCTCTCTCCCTCTCTCTGTGCCCCTTCCCCGATCTCTGTCTTTCTCTCTTAAAATAAATAAACTTAAAAAAAATTTTTTTTTCTCATTCTAGGTGGTTTTGCAGATCTTCAAACACTTGTTTGGAGTATATTTAGTTCTGGTTTGAGTGCTGGGTTACAGCTTCCACTCTGTGGCTGTTTCTTCGGGGGTGTATGTAAATTGTTCTAGGTTGATAGGTGATGAAATTCATTTTGTGATATTTTGCAGTAACCTGTACAAATCTATTAATCTTTCCTTGCTCATTTCTGTGCTGTTGGGTGTTTTATCTTTAATTTAATACTCCCTCTTTTGCCAACATGGCAAAGTCCAGATGCTTTCGTGGATTTGTTTGGAGAGTGGGTCCTTCGGTTTCGTTCTTTTGTCTTGCAGAACCATGAACTTTCTCCACTGGCTTCCTCTTTGACAGCCAAATGCCAAAGGGCGCTTCTCCCTTCCTTGTGGCCCTTTGCTCTCCCGGAATCTGTGTTTTTCAAAGACAGGGCCGGTGAAGTCCCTGTGTACTTTGAAATCCCTCCCTTGGGGGTCAAACCTCTGACCCCATCCAGACAGGGTTTCACATTTTTCAGACGTCAGATGGACTCCGTCTTTCTGTGAGATCTTCCATCAAGCATGGGCCATCCCTAGCTCCCCGCTTCTCCCAGTTTTTCTCAGCCAGTCTGCCCAAAGCCCGTGCGTGCAGGGTGGGGCTGGGACAGGGACACCAGAGATGGTGCGCAGTCACTTATTTCTCATTTTTACTTACAGGTACTTTTAAGTTTGAGCATTCTACCTTCAAGCTCTATTGAGAGCTCGGTTTTGTGTAATTCTACTTTTCCCTTCTCTTTCTTCCATAATGGTTTTTGGGGGTAAGACGGGAACTGAACTGTTACAGTCATTGTCTTCAGCTACCTGGAAGCCTCTCTCAAAATACTCGCTTCTTATCCATCCAGCTTTGCGCCTGTGGGTTTAGAGTCCTTGGTACCCAAGAATGAACGCTAATGGACACGGCAGGGATTCTTTTGAACTGGAAGGGAAGACTGCCACCTTGTCTTTTTGCCCTCTTCATGCCTTGGGACCAACAGCCCTAAAAGGATGATTGAGGGGCGCCTAGGTGGCTCAGTTGGTTAAGTGTCCAGCCCTTGATCTTGGATCAGATCGTGATCTCACAGGTCATGAGTTCGAGCCCCACATCAGGCTCTGTGCTGACAGTGTGGAGCCCCCTTGGAATTCTCTCTCTCCCTCTCTCTCTGCCCCACCCCTGCTCGTACTCTCTCTCTCAAAATAAATAAAAACACTTTTTAAAAAATAATAAAAAATAAAAGGATGGTTGATCCTGATGATCAAGGAAGAAATTGTTGCTGGCACACAATGGAGGGGGCGGTCCCCAGGACTGTCAGGTCCAGTGACCACCTTCACTAGAAATACGAAAGGCACCCAGCACAGGCAGACTTACCAAGGACTTAGACCTCTCCCCTCACTAGGTAAAGATCCTTGAAGGCAAACAAACAAACAAAAAGCCCATGGCATGGATCATAGAAGAAGTAAGTTATAAATGCCAATCTAGGGTTCAGAGATAAAAACACAGGATACTCGGTTATCCCTGCGTTTCAGAGAAACAATGTTTATTTTGCTTGTTTTAGCATCAGGATGTCCTAAAACATTATTTGTTGTTTCTTTGAAGGTCACTGCGCACCTTGTACAGTATTTTTATTTGCTAAAGCCGGAAGCCTTAATGATGGCCTTGTAACTCATGACACAATACTTTCTTCCCTGCAAGTACAAATCTAGCTTAACCAGTATCTTTCCCCAGGTCTTTCCCTTGTTTCGTACGAGGTGTGTTATTGATGACTGGCTTCATAACCCAGTGCGCTTGTTACAGTATATCGAGATGGGATCCCGATTCAACTACCAAGCGTCTCCACACCAATCTACACTTCCACAGTCGCCATGGTGGGGGAAGAGAGGGCCCAGAGATTGAGCACTAGGGGTCAGTGCTTTGCCCCAGAACTGACACTCTACGTTTCATTAGCCAGAGCGGGTCTCATGTCCAGGCCTAAATTCAGAGGGGTGGGGAAGGGCACTAATGTACCTAGAAGCAGAGAATCAGCAGCATCACTAATGGCCAGACAGGTGGCCAGTGGCTGATGGAACTTGGGATCTTCCCTTTTGGGAAGAAGTCTTGGTTGTAAGAGGGGTAGTTGTGGGAGCATGTCATTGTTATGACCTTCAAGAAGTTTAAGTATGAGCAGAGGTATGTGGACACTGAGCCTGCAGAGGGGTGGACTGTGGTGGAGGCCATGGGCATCGTGTCCATCCCTACCTTCCCAGGCATACTGAGAGGATACGAAACTAAAAGCTTTACTCAGACATCTCTTAGTCAAATTAAGCACGTGCATGCCTTATGATTCAGCAATTCTGTTCCTAGGATGTGTCCCAGGGAAATTGCCACATAAGACACGAGAGGACACATGATGATGCCCACTGTGGCATATTTGTTGGTGGGGGTGGGGGAGATGGTGCCCAGCACTGGAGATGTGGGTGGATAAGATGGGATGGATGCATGGATGGGTGGACAGATGGACAAAGGAATGGCTGGTGAGTCCTTCCATGGGCCAATTACCTTAATCTCAGGCTGTGGATTATCACCACCTTCTGCATCTGAGGTCAAAAATAAAATAAGTACATTTTCCAGGCTCCCTTGTGCTAGAGGTCTGCATGAGAAATAGATGTTCTCTGAATAAAGGTGGGCAGAGGAAACGAGGCCACTTGGCGGCATGGGAGGCTCAGCCTGTCTGTAGCAGGGCTGGCGCTCTGGCTTTGTGGGCGCCAAGAGGCATGGCCGGCAGCCCCATTCACATTCCAGGATTGAGGCCCAGCTTCTGGGTGCTGAGGAGCTGGACTGCAGGCAGGGCAGAAGGTTCTGGAATTCAGCAGTGCCAGGGGCAGCTCCTGGGGGTCCCCTTCTCTAGCCTTCCCAGCCACTTTGGAAGTAGATGCGTGTCTTATTTTTTAAGACAGAGAGAGACAGAGCATGAGCAGGGGAGGGGCAGCAAGAGAGGGAGAGACACAGATTCTGAAGCAGGCTGCAGGCTCTGAGCTGTCAGCACGGAGCCCAACGTGAGGCCCGAACTCATGAACCGCAAGATCATGACCTGAGCTAAAGTCGGACGCTCAACCAACTGAGCCACCCAGGCGCCCCAAAAGTAGCCAAGTGTCTTAAATCACTTTCCTGGATTATTTCCTGGAACCAAACCCTTCCTGATTGGGCAATGGTTTACCCGGATCACCCAGCAAGTTACTGCCGTGGCTCAAACTTGAGATAGACCTCCCTACCTGACCCGTGACAGCCCCGCGGGTCCCGGGCCCCGTTTTCCTTTCCCAGCCCCCCACAACTGGGAGGGGCAGGAACGGCCCTGAGGAGCTGGGGGCTGGGGGCCCAGGAGGCAAGGGCCACACAAGAGGCCTTTCCCCAGCAGAACAATTACGCCTCAGCCTCTGGTCAAACTCCGCCCAGCACTGCGGATTGATCACGGCGGTCTGACCACAGCCTCCGGGGGTGCTGGCCCAGGGCAAAGGGGCCTGGGGACTCCGCAGCCCTGTGATCCGTGCAGGTCTCTGTCCTGACGGCATGGTGACGGAAACCCACTCCAGGATGACAAAACACGATTACTAACCAGCTGGGTGACCACAGGAAAATCAGTCAACCCCTCTAGCCTACAGATTTCCTCATCTGTGGGGCCCCGCCAAGCTGTTGCAAGGATGAAATGAGGCAGTGTGGGTGGAAAATACCAGCTCGGTGCCTGGCAGCAAGGTCAGCCTCAAAACATTTGAACTCAAGGTCATCTTACGTATCTGGAGAAAGAAGAAGGGGGACTGGTTTTTCTTACCTAGAAGATTCTTAGGTCCACAGATTGGGTTGTGGTGAGGAAAAGCCAGCTTAATTTTAGCCCATACCATGTGGCCTTTTTCTCTTAGGTCCCAAAATATACTGACAGGCCCTAGAGTGTGGCTCCAATCAAAACAGCACGGGGAGCCCCTCTTCAGGGAAGGGGCAGCAAAGCCCTCTCTCCGCCTGGCCTCCGGTCCACTGTGCTAGCTAGCCTGAGCCCCCTGGGCCAGGAACCCGGCAAAGTCTGGAACTGAGAAGCACCGGTCCCCAGGTGACTGGCCCCAGTCCAGCACCGGCATTACTGAGTTGCTGTGAGGCTCTGGGCCATGGCCCGCTGAGAAGCAGAGACAAAGTTACTTTTTCTCCTCCTTGCTGGGCAGGAATTCTGGAGAAGCCCAGCATATCTGGGCAGGAAGACACTTGGGATCCCCGCAGTATGGGGGTTCCTAGTCTGGAAGTTTTCCTGGAGTCTCTCGCCCCCGTCCCGGGGTGCGTGTCCCCAACCGGGGCTCAGAAGAAAACAAGCCACGGGAAGGTCACTGGTGAACGTAGGTCATTTTTAAAAAAGACCCTCAGTGCCACAGTCCTGCCTCCCCCGGGTCTGGCCTCCAGGCTCAGACCGCGGCTGACAGCCCACGGAGATAGTCCCCGGCCAGGGGCAGCACAGCCCAGTCGTCGGTCCGCAAGGCCACGGGCACCCCGTCCGCCTGGGCCGCCTCCAGTCGCAGCAGCAGCCTCGAGTCTGGGGGCAGACGAATGGCCACGCGGTAGCTGGTGGGGGGCTGGGCCACCACCACAAAGGGCTCCAGGTGGCGGGACACCAGCGCCTCCAGCCCCTGTGGCCCAAGAGGGCACCAGAGGCGACTCTCCGCGCCCTTCGGCAGGCAGGAGTCCCAGAGCTCCTCAAAGAAGCCCAGCTTGTCCCCCTCGGGGGCCTGGGGGAAAGGCAGAAAAAGGTCAGCGAAGTTCACGGGCAGGGGCGGCAGGTGGGCATGGCAGGTGAGGCCGGCGGGCGTGGTGTACAGGGCGCACACGTCCAGCTGCGTGGGGGCTGGGCGGCGAGGCTGCAGAGGCAGGAGCAGAGGACGGCAGGGGCGGCCGGGGCACAGACAGGGCACGTGGACAGCCCCCAAGGGCGCGTACAGCTGTCCCTGCACGCGGAAGCGCAGCTCCAGAGAGTACACCGGCTCCAGCGCCTCCAGCTGGAGCTGCAGCACCAGGCCTGGGCCCGCCGCTCCTCGGGGCCCCACGCTTAGTCGGATCGGGGCTGGGGCCTCCTGCACCATCAGCACAGCAGCAAAGCCCTGGTTCTCGGCCACCAGGGAGGAGGCCGATGCAGGTGCAGCGGGGGAGGGGCCGAGGGCCACGCCCAGCTTGGGCCCCGCAAGATGGGCCAGGAGGATGTAGTAGAGACGGGCATGGTCCCGCCCATCAGGGTCCTCCCACTGCCTGGCCAGCGCCTGCAGCAAGTTGGCCAGGCCAACCCCGGCCCCCGCCCGCAGCAGGGCCCGGCAGACCCGGAGCAGGGCCTGCTGGAGGCCCCAGTCTGTGCAGTGCGCAGCTGCAGCGCCCAGGAAGCCGAGGGTGGCGCTCGGAGCATCCCCGTCTGCCACTTCTGCCAGGATCTGCAGGTGCCAACGAAGGGCCTCGTCCCTGCCTGGCCGGGACACTACCTCCTGCCGCAACGCCACTCTCAGGGGCTCCCCCAGCTCCGGGGCCACCCGATCCAAGAGGTCCACAAAATGTGGAGCCAGCGCAGGCCGGGCGCGGTATAGCCGGGCCAGTCCGTGGGTCAAGGGCGTCAGCACCACAGGCTGTGTGGCCAGGCAGCGAACAACCAGGTAGGAAGCCTGGAAGCAGAGGGTGGCCGAGGCCCGGGGACCCCCATCCAGGGCCACCCTCTGCCGCAAGCCAGCCAGCAGCTCCTCCAGGTAATGCTGGGGGCTCCACTCCCGGCCTTTCTCTTCCTTTTCTTCATCTTCCACGCAGAGCAGGCACAGCAGATGCAGGCGGGCCAGGAGGGCCATCGGGTCGTGCAGGAGACTGGGCAGGAGGCAGCAGCCCAGCTGGCGGCTCAGCAGCAGCGGGGCGGCCTCCTCGCCTGTGGGGCCTAGAGGCCAGTTCTCGGGGAAGTTCAGAAGGCAGTGCAGGTAGAAGAGATGGGCGGGCAAGGGCAGCGCCGGGTGCTGGGCAGCCATGGTGAGCCGGCGGAGCAGCAAGGCCTCATCCTGGGCCGTGAACAGTGCTTCCCCGAAGGCCGCCTTGAGCGCCAGAACAGCGTGCAGCAGCGTGAGCTGTGCCGTGCCCAGCAGTCGCACCAACTGCGGCTTGAAGAGCACTGGCGGCTGTCCCCGGAGACCCCGCAGGGCCCAGCCCAGCAGCCACAGAAGCTGGGCCTGAGCCACAGGGGTGAGCAGGTAGGAAGTGTCCAGAAGCTGGGCCACAGCAGCGCGCAGCTCGCGGGCCTCCTCGGGACTAGGTTCCAGCACTGCGAGGCCACACTCCTCCTCCGCTGCCGCCGGCCAGCTGGGTGCCTGCAGCTGAAGGTGGGCATCCCCCTCCTCAGCTAGCGCCCAGTTCCAGGGATCACCTCCAGAGGCAGTATCCCCGGCCACGAGCAGGCCCTGCAGGCCGGCCCCGGCCCTGGCCTGTATCACCAAGGTGTTGCGCAGAGCAAGTGCCAGCAGCAGGCTGAGCGGCTGGACAGGGCCTTCCTGCCCCAGCAGCCCCCGAAGCAGCCCCAGGCAGCCGCCCAGCAACCCGGGTTTGCAGCTCTCCAGCTCCCGTAGGCACTCACACGCAGTGGCCTGCAGGGGGCGCTGCTCTGAGGCGGGGCCAAAGCCTCGCCCCAGATCGCGGCCAGAGGCCAAGCCGAGAAGAAGGGGCAGGAGCCGGCGGGAGGCGTCCGAAGTGGGGCCCAGCGCATCTCCTGCCACCAGGGCTGTGGTGGCCGCCAGCAGCAGGGGCCGCCGCAGGGCCGAGGGCCGTGGGGGTAGAAGGACCAGGGTGTCCAACAGGGAGGTGGCGGCTGCCTCGGCCGCAGTGGCGTCCGGCCACAGCTGGGCTGGATACTCCAGGCTCAGGGCCAGCAAGGAAACCTGGAGATGGGGAATTTGGGTGGGAATCATGAAAATGAGGTTCATTTCATGAATGAAATGCAGTGGGCTGAAGTGACCAGGTGGGTCGGCGCAGGGGGTACTCGCAGGGCCTACCTTTGTCTGTTCACTCAGCTTCTCACTTCTCAGTTCGCTCAGCAAGTCACGACCCAGATCCTCACCTTCGGGACCTGCCATGAAGGCGGATGGGCTGGCCCGGAAGGCGCCCAGGCGCTGGGCCCAAGTCTCCCGGCTCAGGGGTCCCATGGTCCGGCACGCAGGTCCCTGCAAAGACGCTAGGGAGGATCAGGGTCGCGGCCGCCAGAGGGCGCTCGGGCCCCTGCTTGCACCCCAAAGGGGCCCCCGCCCCCCCAGGAGCGCTTCGCAAATCCCAGCTGTCCTCTGCCACGCGCAGACGCCAGCGGGGACCCCGTGCCTGGATCCCGGGATGAAACCGAGAAGTTTCGGGGATGACGCCGGGCGGGGAGCCAAGGGTCCCGGCGGGGCAGGGCCGCCAGCGCGGGGTGCGTGCCGAGAGCTCATTAGGACGCCCGCCCGCGGCCGCCACCGAAACCACAGCGCCGCCCCGGCCCCCAGCGCCCGCAGTAACGGGCCGGCAGCTCTCACCGTAGCTGACTCAGCCGCCGCGGGCACCCGGGCCGGCCGGCTCCTTCCGGGCGACGGCGCGCGGCGGGGCGGGGCGCGCGGCGCGTGGGCGGCGTGGGCGGGGCCGTAACGGGGCCTCCGCCTTCCCCTCCCGCCCCGCAAGCAGGTGCCGACTCGCCGGTTTCGCTGGTGCTGAGTAACTGTCCCGCTGCGCTCAGGCCCCCCTTCCCCGAAACCGCCGCAGGCCCGGGCAGAGGCGGTGGCGTTGGGTGGGCCCCGGGCTCCCGGATGCCGAGGTCCGGTCCGCGCGCGGGCGGCGATCCCAGGGCCTTCGGGTGCTCAGCGCGCACTTGGCCGGCGAGGATGGCAAGCTGCGCGCCCCCCCGCCGGCGTCCCCGCACGCCACACCCTGCGAGGGGGCGTGGGGTGTACGGGTCTTTGGGTTCCCAGGGTGCCCGCTGGGGGGTGTGCAAGGTGCGGTCCCAGAGCGCCCGCAGGAAGTGCTCCTCACAGCCCCGGCTGAACCGGTCGGGCGGGCGCCTCGGGGCTTGGCTTCGCTTCTCCGACGCCGGCCGGGTCCCCCACCCGCTCGGCTTGGGGGCGCGGAGCCGGCGCCGGGGTCACGGCGGGCGGAAGCCGCTGACCTTTGCCTCAGGCCACACCGCAGTCGGCGAGGGTTGCGGCAGCAGCGGAGCCGTCGTAAAGCTGGCGGTTGGGCAAGGCCATGAGCTTCGATGAAGCCGGAAAACAACGGGATGCAGACGTGCAGAGTGGCAGGGCCTGGCGGGTCCCCGGGCTCACGGCGTGCCTAGCGCGGACTCCGAAACCGAGACCTCGCCACTGAAGACGCAGGGTCAAGCAGTGCACGAGCCCAGCACTCTTGACTTGAGAAGGGCTGGATCGGAGCCGTTTGGCGGCACTGAGGGGGCTCGCCTGGGGCTCATCAAGGAGCATCTCCTGGGCCCCCCACCCACACTGCAGATGCCCCACTGACTGCCCGCTTCCAGGGCCCAGAGCTGCGGGCGTTCAGGCCCCACCGGCTACAGTAACGCCTTTGGCTCTAATTAGCCGCCTTTGAAGATGAAACAGACCTGAGCCCCCACTTCGGTGCTGCCAACTCGTTTCTCTTCTTTCTCCAGGCTTCGGGGCCCCTCCCTCCCCCATCTTGCTGTCCTCCAGATGGGAGGTGAGAGGGAGTGGTTGGGTACAGAGAGCTGGAAAAGAGGCCGTCTCGGTGCCCACGGTGCCAGCGATGCTGGGGGACGGAGACAGGGACCCGCCCCGGGGGGACAGGTCTGGCTGGAAAGCCCGGTCCCAACTCCTCTGGGCCCCGGCTCCACAGTTGACTCACAGGCGGCAACCCTAAACCACTTCCCTCTAGGTGCCTCAGTTTCCCCATCTATAAAATGGGAGTGATGACTCCCGCCCAAGAGACTGTGGGGTGGGGCAGCCTGGCTAATTAAACCTGAGATGAAAGAGGCCAGGATGAGAGCAGCCCTGAGAGGGAAGTCAGCTTGGGGGTAACAAGGAGCCTGTCTGGTTTCCCTGAGGCCCAGAGGGTGCTGATAACTACACACCCCTAGCCCTCACCCCTCGCAGGGAGGGAGGAGTGATTATTAAGCCTCTTTTACAGTTGAGGAGACAGGCTTCAAAGGGCCAGGAAATCTACCACTGACTTTGGCCCTCATTCAGCCTCGGACGGTCGCCAGCCCTTCTGAGCCTTGGCTCCTCTCCGGCCAGGGGTCTGGAGGGAGGGAACCCAAATGTGCTTCCCGATGTCGCAGTGGGCACATCCACACAGCCTGCCAAGCTCACAGCAACCCTGGGGGACCAGGGGGTGGGGACCATTCCCAGATGAGGAAAGGGAGGCCCAGAGAAGTACAGTCACCAGCCCAAAGGCACAGAGCTCCTTCTTAGGAGCTGGTAGAGCCTGGACCTCAGCAGACAGCCCCTCGCCGCCCCTGACTTAGCCTCCACCAGCTTCCACACCAGCTACCCTCAGCCCTCTTGGGTCCTGAGATGGGCCTTCTCACCTGCCTGCCCAGATGTCCCTGCCCTGTTCCCCTGCAGCACAGGCGAGCCAGAGAGTTAAGCTCAGCCCACCAGCACTGAGGCCGTGAACGTTTCCTGGATCTGTGGTCTGCAGGCCTGCCCTGGAAAGTGGCCTCCCAGCCAAGACGTCCCCGGTGTGGGCCGCAGCCAGGTGACTGGGCTGGGAACTCCCCACTCGATGTTCACACCTCATTCCTTCTCTTCCTGCTGAGTTTCCATCCTCCCCGGTGGTGTAGCCCAGCCCTGGGGAAGACACTAGACAAAAGGCTTAGAAAGGGAAAGTCCTTTTTCCGAGGAGTCCTGAGCTTCAGTTTTCTCATCTGTAAAATGGGGACATGACCAACCCGACTCTCCCAACACTGGGTCTACCGGGATGCTTTAAAAAGAACACATCAATAGGCAAATCCATAGACGTAAAGCAGAGTAATAGATGCCAGGGGCTAGCGGAAGGGAGGAAGGGGAAGGACTGCTAATGTGCACGAGGTTTCTTTGGGGGTGATGAGAATGTTCTGGAAGATGGGTGATGGCTGCACAACTCTGTGAAGATACCAACCCCCCTGAATTATATACTTTTAAGGGGTGAATTTATGGTATATGAATTATATATTGAAATTTTTAAAATGTTTTAATGTTTATTTTTGAGAGAGGGAACAGAGTGTAAGTGGGGGGGAGGGGCAGGGAGAGGGGAGACACAGAACCTGAAGCAGGCTCCAAGCTCTGAGCTGTCAGCACAGAGCCCGATGCGGGGCTTGAACTCACAAACCACAAGATCATGACCTGAGCCTCAGTCGGACACTTAACGGACTGAGCCACCCAAGCACCCCTATATCTTAAAATTTAAAAATTTTTTAAAATGTTCTTTTATGTTTTGAGAGAGAGAAACAGAGAAACAGAGTGCAAGCAGGGGAGGGGCAGAGAGAGAGGGACACACAGAATCTGAAGCGGGGTCCAGGCTCTGAGCTGTCAGCACAAAACCCGACGTGGGGCTTGAACCCACGACCTGCAAGATCATGACCTGAGCCAAAGTCAGACGCTTAAGTGCCTGAGCCACCCAGGAGCCCCTAAATTATATCTAAATAAAGAGAGCAAAATGGTGTTAAAGAGGTTCGTTGTGTACAGACGGTGTTAAAGAGGTTCGTTGTGTACAGAACTTACACTGGGGGGGGGGGAGGGGACACAGACAACACACCTGATAAACCAAAATATCACAGAGTCAAAGATGCCTCAAGGAAAACAGAACAGGGTAATGGGCCAGAGGTGACTGGGGGAAAAGGATTCTGCTAGGGTGGTCAGAGAGGCCTCTCAGAAGCGGGGACACTTGACGGAAACCTGAGTGACAAGAGGTAACTGGTCATCAGGTGGAAAATAGGGTTCCAGGCAGAAGGCACGGCGGCGGAGGGGCCAGAGCAGGGCCTGGGCACCCAAGGGCCTGCAGGAAGGGAGAGGCGAGCGGTCAGGAGGTCAGCACGGGACCAGGGTGCGCACACCTCCAGGACATTCTTCCAGCTGCCGTGGGAGCCACTGGAGGGCTTGAGCTGCAGGGGGACAGCTGGCGGGGGGGGGGGCTGTCTTGTGGCCATGTGCAACGTGACAGGGCCTTGGAACAGGGTGGTGGCTATGGAGATGGAGGGAGGTGTGGGCAGCCGCCGGACGATCTGGGTGCGGGGGGACTTGCGGGTGGCTGCATGTGCCGGGTGAGGGAAGAGGGGGGCGGATGGCACTGGGCTTGGGTCCTGAGTACTTGGGGGCTCACAGTTCCAGTCTCCCCATGGGGAAGGCTGTGGGAACTGCGGATGGGACAAAGCCACAGTGGCGAGCCTCGCCCGGCTGCTTGGCCTCCTCCAGCCAGAAGCTTTGGCCTCTCCCTGCACTGCTCCAGAGGCTCCTGATGGCCCAGGAAGCCTCCTCCTCTGCCTACTGCCTCGGCCCCCAGCCCCACCTGGGGAGCCTTTTGCCCACAATGACAGCAGGACGGAGGGGTTGGGGTCCTCAAGGCACTCACACTTTGCCAAGGGCTTTGCAGCCTGCAGGAGGCTGTTGTTACGTGGGGCGGGAGGGGGAGCTGAGCAAAGGCCTCGGGGGGCCAGGGCACCAGCAGCCTCCTCTAAGGCCAAGTCCCTTTGCGGGGGCTGCTGGACTTCAGGACAAAAGCAAATCGACATCTCTTGACCGCTTGGAGGAACAGAGCTGGAACTAGGAACCCCACTTTACAGATGCGTAAACTGAGGCCCTGCCAGGTTAGGCGGCTTGGCTCGAGTCCTCAGAGGCTAAAAGTCTGGGGCAGCCCAGCTCCCGGCCCTTTCCCTGCTGGGCTTCCCGGCACGTCTTGTCTCCCAGGAGCCCCTCTGCCTTCAGCCTCCGTCCTTCCCAGCCCTGCACCCCCTCTCGGCTCCCCTGCTAAGCTGTTCCAAGCCTCCTCCCTCCAACTCTGCCCTGGGGCCTCCCTGGGCGTCTCGGGGCACCAAAAGGAGATGCCGGCCACCACTTTTGGGGAGCATGGCCCTTGCTTGCTTGCCGGGGCCCTGCCTTCCTGCACACTCCTGTCCACCACCCCAAGAGTCATCCACTCCGAATGCCTAGACGCAGAGCTCATGGCTCTGTGAGCAGATGGCCCAGGGCGCCATCACCTCCTTTTTTTTTTTAAATATATATATATTTTTTTAAATATATTTTTTAAATTTTTTAAATGTTTTATTTATTTCTGAGAGAGAGCGAGAGAGACAGTGTGAGCAGGGGAGGGAAGGAGAGAGAGGGAGACACAGAATCCAAAACAGGCTCCATGCTCTGAGCTGTCAGCACAGAGCCCGACGCGGGGCTCGAACTCACAAACCGTGAGATCATGACCTGAGCCAAAGTTGGACGCATAACCGACTGAGCCACCCAGGTGCCCCAATCATCTCCTGCTTACTGGTCTCTCTACTCACACCCTCATCACCCTCCCCCGACACACGCGCTCCGTTCCCTGTGGCTGACCCCAAGGCTTCCCGCCACACTGAGCCTCCCACGTCACGGCTCACAAGCCTCTTC